GTCCACAACAGCCAGGGCTGAGCCAGACTGAAGCTAGGGACCTGGAATTCAATCCACATCTTGCACATGAATGACATGGATTCAAGTGCTTGAGTCATCACTGCTGTCTCTCAGCATGCACAGTAGCATAAGCTGATCAGAAACAGAGGTAAGATTTGATCCCAGGTACTACAATAGAAGATGTAGGTATCCCAAGTGACTACTTAACTTGTTCCACAAATGCCCACTGTCACTACGTCCTTTTGAGTTCAAAGCTTCAACTGGAGGTTATGAGCCCTGGAAGCACCTTTCTAAAAAACACAGAGTTCTGTCTAAGCTTGTTGGTTCTGTTTCAGTTAGGACTGTAGAGGAATCCATGTACCATCAACATTAACATAAACCCGTCAGTTAACAAGGATTCTAAACAACAGCATCCAGATTTGTACATTTTTACTGTTATCTGCATTGATATTTTTCTTTTTCTGAATTTTCTTCAGTATTTCAGCAGATAGTAGGCACATAGTAATAACTTAAAATATTTAAGTATCTTTATAAGATTACTGGAAAGTAGCATAAAATATTTTAAAGACTGAAAATTGTGAAAACATATTTATAAATACTATTTAGTGAAATAATTTAAAGAGAAAATTATGGTATAGAAATAATTCCACCAATCTGAAAAAAAAAATTTTTGGTACTACATAAATTTATTTAACATACACTTATAATATAGAATGTCTTTATTACATGGGAATTTATGTATTAAATGCCAAAACTTCAGAATAATAAAAGATTATACCCACATCTAGTGTATTTGTCTATTTGTGTAATCAGAACAAGTGCCCAAGATTTACTTTACACCTACATTATATTCTCTAAAATTTCACAAAAAGAGAAACTCCACATTAAATGTTCACATATATGAAGTAGTATTTTTAAATTTAAATGTAGTTTTGTGGGTAAAATTCATTGTTATTATGGAGATAGTAGAATTCAATATGAATCTTATTTTAGAATTGATTATTTGCTATTTGCTGGGGTTATATATTGACTGTGATATTGGCTATACACTCATATATGGTACTGACAGTTCTTGTATGCCAAGTGCTGGTGTGTAACTAGCAGATAAGCTTAATTTTCAGGTATTCTAACTACAGTTGAATGGAGAGGTTATTACAAAGCTGTAACTTTTGTCAAATAGTGGTGGTATGACTTACCACATTTATTAGAAATAGTGACAGCATTTTGTTTATGAATAGGTATTGGATGGCTTTAAATAAGATGTAAATAATTATGGTTGTACTATTTATAGATTTGCATAATAGGTTATGGAATGATTTAGTGAGGTTTTGCCTATTATTGAGGTATGTATATAAAAATGATGATATTATATAAATGATGTTGCAGTATAAATGATGGTATCACTGTAAGATAAATTGACATGGTGGGTCCTATTATGAAATTTCAGTAGGAACTATGGTGGTAGCACATTTTGTTACTGTGATATTATGGTTACAGACATATCTGTAGGGGAAGCAGATGTGTTGGCAGTATGGTACAGTGTATGGAGGTTGTGTTTGCATTTTCTATTAACAGGTATTTATGGTTATGGTGATTAAAAATTAAAGCATTGTTATATTGTTCTTGAAGAGTCATGATTTAGTAGTACACATGTTGGATTTATTTCTAGTTGAAGAGCTGGTGGTTGAGTTGTAAAGATGAGTTTTAATTGTGTTAGAAACAGAATAGAACCAGTTACTGAGATGAGATAGCTATTATGGGATGTGTAAATTCAGTTAAAGGGTGTATACTAGTGCTTGGAGATTCTGTTAAAGTGGTAAAAAGCTGTAGATTGATTAGAAATAGGCATAATTCATGTTTGAGGTAAAGCTGTTGATTAATCTATGTTTGGAACTCCAACGGAAGTAGATCTTCTGATGACTGTGCATACCAATCAGTTGAAATGCTACTGTACTCTCATGATAGTAACACAGGAAATGTTATGGTTCTCATGGAATCAGTTAACATGAATCTTGTGGTCATGGCTGCAGGCCCAGTTGAAAGATTATTGCAGTTGTTGTGATGCATTCAGTTGAAGGAGCAACATTTGGAGTTATGGTAGTAAATTGAGATTAAAAGATTGTGCTCACAATTGTGTAGATAGGTTCAAATGAAGTGCTGCTGGTGCTGGTAGTAAGCTCAGTGAAGAAGAGGCTGTTGCTGTGTTATTAGTTCATTTAAAATGCTAGAATTACCAGTTTTGCATACAAACTCTGCTAAAGATGAATTTGTGCTGGCAAATCAAGTGATTGTGGTTAAGTTGAAGAATGGCTGCTATCAGTAGTTGGTTCTACTGAAGCAATAATCTTAATAATTGTAGTTACAGGATACAATCCTAGCAATTGCAGTTACAAGCCAGCTTTGATTTTTGCAGTAAGCACCATTAAAATGGTGGCCATGCAGGTTTATTAAAAGGATTCTGGTGACCACTGTGACTGTTGGCTCAACAACCTACAGTGATTGGTGTGGTATCCACTAAGTTGAAGTGATACTATCTACTGTAGTTGTCAGTTCAATAGAAACAGTAGTTATGACTTCTCAGTTGAGGAGTGGCTACTACTCTGGTTGTAGATTAAGGAAAATTTGTTGTAGTACAAGTTGTAGTAGCTTCAGAACTACTGACAGTTGTGGTGTGCTCAGTTCAATGAAAATGGTCACTTCTATTGTAGTAGTGGGCTAAGCAAAAGTACAACTGTTGACTGCAGTGAGTTCAGCCTCAGTGGAAGTGCTTTCAATCACTGTGGTGGTCAAGGAGTGGTTGCACTTATGGGTCTAGATTGAAGAGAAGCAGTAATGGGGGTGATGTAGATGATGCATAATTGTATGTGCCCACAGTCAATCTGACAGATGGTGTAAAAAAAATGGTGACTGGCCTATGGGATATTCAGTAGAAAATATAGTGGTGGGCATTGTGGTTGTAGTTTCAATGGAAGAATATGCAGTTGAGGTATTTGGTTCTGTTGTGGTGCTGACTGTTACAGATTCAGTAGAAACATTAGCAATAGTAACTATTGCTATAGGCTCAGCAGAACCACCTGCAGTTCTTAGAGTCAATGGAATTGAAGAGATGACTGCTGATCTGATTATGGGCACAGTAGAAGAGACAGTGGTACCAGTTAAAGTGCCACTAGTAGGTGTAGTAGTCAGTCCTAATGAAGTAGTGTCCATTGTTATGGTTGTGTGTTAAGTAGTAGGGATACTGAGAAATACTATACTTACAGAAAGATTGAAATGACTACAAATACAGATATTGGCTGAGGTAGAGTGGTGACTGCTCCTGTTGTTGTAGATTGACTAGAAAATAGGTTAGTAAACACAGTGGTTGAGGATTACTGGAAGTGCCTTCAATTGTTATAGATAGCAAAGTTCAAACAGAAGATGGTGCTGTTTTTGTTGAAGGAGTAGAAGTAGTACTGCTGGTCACAGCATATGCAGATTCTAAGGAAGTATCACCAGATGTTGTCTTAGGGGAGTAGCAGTAAGAGCTGTAGTGGTGATTCTAAGAACATTAGAAGTGATAGTGTTGGCCAAAGTGGTTTTAGATTCAGGGAAAATGAAAGCAGTTGCTATAGTTTCAAGATAAAGAAGTGGCACCTGTTGTATTTAGGACACAATAGATGCAGTACAGAGACCACAGTGGATATAGATTGAGGGGAAGTTACTATAGTTGATCTTGTCACTGGATCTCAAGTAGTGGCCACTGCTGAACTTGAGGGCACACTAGATGGGTAACTGCTGGCCACATTGATTGTATATACAGAAAGGACTGTAGTTGCTGTTGTACTGGAACTGAAGCGGTTGGTGCTACTACACTAGATGGCACAGTAGAAGCAGTACAGCCGGAAGCAGATATTGTAGTTTCTGTTGTCACTGTGGCTGAAGTGGTCAGTGCTGCTGCACTTGAGGGCACATAGAAGCAGTGGTGCTGGAAGACAATGTTGTAGTTATAAGTGAAGTGACTGTAGCTGCTATTGTCTCTTCAGTTGCTGTAATTGAGGGCACTGTAGAAGCAGTGCTGCTGGAAGCAGATGCTGTACTTATAGGTGAAGTGACTGTAGTTGCTGTTGTCACTGTGGCTGAAGTGGTTGGTACTGCTGTACCTGAGTGTACAGAGAAACAGTAGTGCTGGAAGCAGATGTTATAATTTCAGGTGAAGTTACTGTCATTACTGTTATCTCTAAGCTGCTATACTTGAGAGAACAGTAAAAGCAGTGGTGCTGAAAGCAGATGTTGTAGTTTCAGATGAAGTGACTGTAGTTACTGTTGTCTATGGAGTTGCTGTACTTGAAAGAACAGTAGAAGCAGTGCTGCTGGAAGCAGATGCTATAGTTTCAGGTGAGGTGACTGTAGTTGCTGTTGTCTCTGGGGTTGCAGTACTTGAGGAGGCTGTAGAAGCAGTGGTGCTGGAAGCCACTGTACTTTCAGGTGAAGTGACTGCAGTTGCTGTTTTCTCTGTAGTTGCCATTGTCTCTAGAGATGCTGTACTTGAGGAGGCTGTAGAAGTATTGGTGCTGGAAGATGTTGTAAGTTGCAGTACTAGATGCTACAGTAGAAGCAGGGGTGCTGGAAGCAAATGTAGTTTCAGCTGAAGTGACTGTAGTTGGTGTTGTCTCTAGAATTGCTGACTTGAGGAGGCTGTAGAAGCAGTGGTGCTGAAAGGCATTCTACTTTCAAGTGAAGTGACTGTAGTTGCTGTTGTCTCTGGAGAAACTGTACTTGAGGGCACATTAGTAGGGCTGTATGTCGATGTTGTAGTTTCAGGAGAAGTAACTGCAGTTGGTATTCTCTCTGGAATTGCAGTACTAGATGGTGCAGTAGAAGCAGTGCTGCTGGAAGCAGACGTTTTAGTTTCAGGTGAAGTGACTGTAGTTGCTGTTGTCTCTGTAGTTGCTGTTGTGTCTGGGGTTGCAGTACTTGAGGACATAGTAGAAGCAGTGGTGCTGGAAGTAGATGTTGTAGTTTCAGGTGAAGTAACTGTAGTTCCTGTTGTCTCTGTAGTTGGTGTTGTCTAAGGAGTTGCAGTACTAGATGGTGCAGTAGAAGCAGTGGTGCTGGAAGTAGATGTTGTAGTTTCAGGTGAAGTGACGGTAGTTCCTATTGTCTCTGAAGTTATGTACTTGAGAGAACAGTAGAAGCAGTGGTGCTGGAAGTAGATGTTGTAGTTTCAGGTGAAGTGACTGTAGTTCCTGTTGTCTCAGTAGTTGCTGTTGTCTCAGGAGTTGCAGTACTAGATGGTGCAGTAGAAGCAGTGGTGCTGGAAGTAGATGTTGTAGTTTCAGGTGAAGTGACTGTAGTTGCTGTTGTGTCTGGAGTTGCAGTACTAGATGGTGCAAGAGAAGCAGTAATGCTAGAAGCAAATGTAGTTATAGGTGAAGTGACTGTAGTTGCCGTAGTCTCAGGAGTTGCAGTACTAGATGGTGCAGTAGAATCAGCGGTGCTGGAAGTAGATGTTGTAGTTTCAGGTGAAGTGACGGTAGTTCCTATTGTCTCTGAAGTTATGTACTTGAGAGAACAGTAGAAGCAGTGGTGCTGGAAGTAGATGTTGTAGTTTCAGGTGAAGTGACTGTAGTTGCTGTTGTCTCTGGAGTTCCTGTTATGTCTGGAGTTGCAGTACTTGAGGGCACAGTAGAAGCAGTGGTGCTGGAAGTAGATGTTGTAGTTTCAGGTGAAGTGACTGTAGTTCCTGTTGTCTCTGTAGTTGCTGTTGTCCCAGGAGTTGCAGTACTTGAGGGCATAGTAGAAGCAGTGGTGCTGGAAGTGTATGTGGTAGTTTCAGGTGAAGTGACTGTAGTTACCGTAGTCTCTGAAGTTGCTGTACTTGAGAGAACAGTAGAAGCAGTGCTGCTGGAAACAGACGTTGTAGTTTCAAGTGTAGTGACTGTAGTTCCTGTTGTCTCTGTAGTTGCTGTTGTGTCTGGAGTTGCAGCACTAGATGGTGCAAGAGAAGCAGTGGTGCTGGAAGCAAGTGTAGTTATAGGTGAAGTGACTGTAGTTGCTGCTGTCTCTGGAGTTGCAGTACTTGAGGGCTCGGTAGAAGCAGTACTGCTGGAAGTAGATGTTGTAGTTATAGGTGAAGTGACTGTAGTTGCCGTAGTCTCTGAAGTTGCTGTACTTGAGAGCACAGTAGAAGCAGTGGTGCTGGAAGTAGATGTTGTAGTTTCAGGTGAAGTGACTGTAGTCACTGTTGTCTCTGTAGTTGCGGTACTAGATGGTGCAGTAGAAGCAGTGTTGCTGGAAGCAAATGTAGTTATAGGTGAAGTGACTGTAGTTGCTGTTGTCTCTGGAGTTGCAGTACTAGATGGTGAAGTAGAAGCAGTGGTGCTAGAAGTAGATGTGGTAGTTTCAGGTGAAGTGACTGTAGTTCATGTTGTCTCTGTAGTTGCTGTTTTCTCAGGAGTTACAGTACTAGATAGTGCAGTAGAAGCAGTGGTGCTGGAAGCAAGTGTAGTTATAGGTGAAGTGACTGTAGTTGCTGTTGTCTCTGGAGTTGCAGTACTTGAGGGCACAGTAGAAGCAGTACTGCTGGAAGTAGATGTTGTAGTTATAGGTGAAGTGACTGTAGTTGCTGTTGTCTCTGAAGTTGCTGTACTTGAGGACACAGTAGAAGCAGTGCTGCTGGAAGCATTTATTGTAGTTTCAGGTGAAGTGACTGTAGTTGCCTTAGTCTCTGTAGTTGCTGTTGTCCCAAGAGTTGCAGTACTTGAGGGCATAGTAGAAGCAGTGGTGCTGGAAGTAGATGTTGTAGTTTCAGGTGAAGTGACTGTAGTTGCTGTTGTCTCTGTAGTTGCTGTTGTCTCAGGAGTTGCAGTACTTGAGGGCATAGTAGAAGCAGTGGTGCTGGAAGTAGATGTTGTAGTTTCAGGTGAAGTGACTGTAGTTACCGTAGTCTCTGAAGTTGCTGTACTTGAGAGAACAGTAGAAGTTGTGCTGCTGGAAACAGATGTTGTAGTTTCAGGTGTAGTTACTGTAGTTCCTGCTGTCTCTGTAGTTGCTGTTGTGTCTGGAGTTGCAGTACTAGATGGTGCAGTAGAAGCAGTGGTGCTGGAAGCAAGTGTAGTTATAGGTGAAGTGACTGTAGTTGCTGTTGTCTCTGTAGTTCCTGTTGTCTCTGGAGTTGCAGTACTTGGGGGCATAGTAGAAGCAGTGCTACTGGAAGCAGACGTTGTAGTTTCAGATGAAGTGACTGTAGTTCCTGTTGTCTCTGTAGTTGCTGTTGTCTCAGGAGTTGCAGTACTAGATGGTGCAGTAGAAGCAGTGGTGCTGGAAGTAGATGTGGTAGTTTCAGGTGAAGTGACTGTAGTTCCTGTTGTCTCAGGAGTTGCAGTACTAGATGGTGCAGTAGAAGCAGTGGTGCTGGAAGTAAATGTTGTAGTTTCAGGTGAAGTGACTGTAGTTGCCATAGTCTCTGAAGTTGCTGTACTTGAGAGAACAGTAGAAGTAGTGCTGCTGGAAGAAGACGTTGTAGTTTCAGGTGAAGTGACTGTAGTTCCTGTTGTCTCTGTAGTTGCTGTTGTGTCTGTATTTGCTGTACTAGATGGTGCAAGAGAAGCAGTGGTGCTGGAAGCAAGTGTAGTTATAGGTGAAGTGACTGTAGTTGCTGTTGTCTCTGGAGTTGCAGTACTTGAGGGCACAGTAGAAGCAGTACTGCTGGAAGTAGATGTTGTAGTTTCAGGTGAAGTGACTGTAGTTGCTGTTGTCTCAGGAGTAGCAGTACTGGATGGTGCAAGAGAAGCAGTGGTGCTGGAAGCAAAAGTAGTTATAGGTGAAGTGACTGTCGTTGCCTTAGTCTCTGTAGTTGCTGTTGTGCCTGGAGTTGCAATACTAGATGGTTCAGTAGAAGCAGTGGTGCTGGAAGCAAGTGTAGTTATAGGTGAAGTGACTGTAGTTGCTGTTGTCTCTGGAGTTCCTGTTGTCTCTGGAGTTGCAGTACTTGGGGGCATAGTAGAAGCAGTGCTACTGGAAGCAGACGTTGTAGTTTCAGATGAAGTGACTGTAGTTCCTGTTGTCTCTGTAGTTGCTGTTGTATCAAGAGTTACAGTACTAGATGGTGCAGTAGAAGTAGTGGTTCTGGAAGCAAATGTAGTTATAGGTGAAGTGACTGTAGTTGTCGTAGTCTCTGTTGTTGCTGTTGTCTCAGGAGTAGCAGTACTAGATGGTGCAAGAGAAGCAGTGGTGCTGGAAGCAAAAGTAGTTATAGGTGAAGTGACTGTAGTTGCTGTTGTCTCTGTAGTTGCTGTTGTCTGAGGAGTTGCAGTACTTGAGGGCATAGTAGAAGCAGTGGTGCTGGAAGTAGATGTGGCAGTTTCAGGTGAAGTGAGTGTAGTTGCCGTAGTCTCTGAAGTTGCTGTACTTGAGGGCACAGTAGAAGCAGTGCTGCTGGAAGCATTTATTGTAGTTTCAGGTGAAGTGACTGTCGTTGCCTTAGTCTCTGTAGTTGCTGTTGTGCCTGGAGTTGCAGTACTAGATGGTGCAGTAGAAGCAGTGGTGCTGGAAGCAAGTGTAGTTATAGGTGAAGTGACTGTAGTTGCTGTTGTCTCTGTAGTTCCTGTTGTCTCTGGAGTTGCAGTACTTGAGGGCATAGTAGAAGCAGTGGTGCTGGAAGTAGATGTGGTAGTTTCAGGTGAAGTGACTGTAGTTCCTGTTGTCTCTGTAGTTGCTGTTGTCTGAGGAGTTGCAGTACTAGATGGTGCAGTAGAAGCAGTGGTGCTGGAAGTAGATGTGGCAGTTTCAGGTGAAGTGAGTGTAGTTGCCGTAGTCTCTGAAGTTGCTGTACTTGAGAGAACAGTAGAAGTAGTGCTGCTGGAAGAAGACGTTGTAGTTTCAGGTGAAGTGACTGTAGTTCCTGTTGTCTCTGTAGTTGCTGTTGTCTCAGGAGTTGCAGTACTAGATGGTGCAGTAGAAGCAGTGGTGCTGGAAGCAAATGTAGTTATAGGTGAAGTGACTGTCGTTGCCTTAGTCTCTGGAGTAGCTGTACTTGAGAGTACAGAGGAAGCAGTGCTGCTGGAAGCAGATGTTTTAGTTTCAGGTGAAGTGACTGTAGTTGCTGTTCTCTCTGTAGTTGTTGTTGTCTCAAGAGTTGCAGTACTAGATGGTACTGTAGAAGCAGTGCTGCTGGAAGTAGATGTTGTAGTTTCAGGTGAAGTGACTGTAGTTGCTGTTGTCTCTGTAGTTGCTGTTGTCTCAGGAGTTGCAGTACTAGATGGTGCAGTAGAAGCAGTGGTGCTGGAAGTAGATGTTGTAGTTTCAGGTGAAGTGACTATAGTTCCTGTTGTCTCTGTAGTTGCTGTTGTCTCAGGAGTTGCAGTACTAGATGGTGCAGTAGAAGCAGTGGTGCTGGAAGTAGATGTTGTAGTTTCAGGTGAAGTGACTGTAGTTGCTGTAGTCTCTGAAGTTGCTGTACTTGAGGGCACAGTAGAAGCAGTGGTGCTGGAAGTAGATGTTGTAGTTTCAGGTGAAGTGACTGTAGTTGCTGTTGTCGCAGAAGTTGCTGTTGTGTCTGGATTTGCAGTACTAGATGGAGCAGTAGAAGCAGTGGTGCTGGAAGCTGATGTAGTCATAGGTGATGTGACTGTAGTTGCTGTTGTCTCTGGAGTTGCAGTACTTGAGGGCACAGTAGAAGCAGTACTGCTGGAAGTAGATGTTGTAGTTTCAGGTGAAGTGACTGTAGTTGCTGTTGTCTCAGGAGTAGCAGTACTGGATGGTGCAAGAGAAGCAGTGGTGCTGGAAGCAAAAGTAGTTATAGGTGAAGTGACTGTAGTTGCTGTTGTCTCTGTAGTTGCTGTTGTCTGAGGAGTTGCAGTACTAGATGGTGCAGTAGAAGCAGTGGTGCTGGAAGTAGATGTGGTAGTTATAGGTGAAGTGAGTGTAGTTGCCGTAGTCTCTGAAGTTGCTGTACTTGAGGGCACAGTAGAAGCAGTGCTGCTGGAAGCATTTATTGTAGTTTCAGGTGAAGTGACTGTCGTTGCCTTAGTCTCTGTAGTTGCTGTTGTGCCTGGAGTTGCAGTACTAGATGGTGCAGTAGAAGCAGTGGTGCTGGAAGCAAGTGTAGTTATAGGTGAAGTGACTGTAGTTGCTGTTGTCTCTGGAGTTCCTGTTGTCTCTGGAGTTGCTGTTGTCTCAGGAGTTGCAGTACTAGATGGTGCAGTAGAAGTAGTGGTTCTGGAAGCAAATGTAGTTATAGGTGAAGTGACTGTAGTTGCTGTAGTCTCTGGAGTGGCTGTACTTGAGAGTACAGTAGAAGAAGTGCTGCTGGAAGCAGAAGTTTTAGTTTCAGGTGAAGTGACTGTAGTTGCTGTTGTCTCTGTAGTTGCTGTTGTCTGAGGAGTTACAGTACTAGATGGTGCAGTAGAAGCAGTGGTGCTGGAAGTAGATGTTGTAGTTTCAGGTGAAGTGACTGTAGTTGCTGTTGTCTCAGGAGTTGCAGTACTAGATAGTGCAGTAGAAGCAGTGCTGCCAGAAGCAGATGTTGTAGTAGGCCCAGTTGAAGCAGTAGTGCTGGCCTCTGTGGTTGTAGATGTGCTTGTGCTTGTTGTAGTGCCTGAATTGTTTTGGCTGCTTGTTTCTTTTGTGGAAGTGGTGGCTGCTGCTGTGGTAGTTTCAGTTGTAGTATTAGTGATGGTTGCTCTGCTGGTAGGTTCTGTTGAGCCACCTGCCATTGTTATTGTGCTAGTAGGCTGAGTTGAAGTGGATGTTGAGGTAGATGTAGTGGTGGCTACAGGTTTTGAACTTGTAGATGTTCCAGTAGTAGATGAGGATGTCCCTTGGCTTTGAGGAACTTGAATAACAATGGAAGTATTGTTATTTCTCCCATTGTACACCAAGGACATTATGAGTACTCCAAATGCTGTTGTTATCACACCAGCTAAGAGACAAGCTAGGAAGATTTTCCATAAAGACCAACCATTGTGGAAATGTTGTGTTACCTGGAAAGTATGTTAATATTATTACCAAAAGACAAAAAAAAGTTTAAAGAAAAATTAATGCCATTTATTACACTTCTATATTTTGTTCTGGTAATTTTGATCTCTCACTGCTTAAGGTTGTCTTTAACTATTTGGAGTTGGTTTTTGTATGTTTCCTGATACATACAAAAAAGGCTCAATTTTATTCTGCTGCATGTGTACAGCCAGTTTCCCCAAAGTCATTTGTTGAAGAAACTGTCCTTTCTCCCATTGTGTGTTCCTGACACATTTGTTGAAAATCAATTGACTATAAGTGCAGGGATGGATTTCTGGACCGTATTCTACCCAATTGGTCTATTACCTTTTTTAATGCAAGTACCATCATTATTTGGTTATTATCGGTTTGTAGTTGATTTTGAAAGAAATTACTTCATTTAAATAAATTGTATAAACAGGAACAGTGAGCACAGCAATTAAGTCTGTGCTTGAGATGCCTACATCCCATATCAGGATGCCTAGCTTGAGCCCCAGCTATTTCACTTCCAATCTACTTTCTTGCTAATGTGTGCTCAGAGAAAGCAGATGATAGCTCAAGTGCTTGAGTCCCTGGGCTCCTGGCTTCTACCTGGCACAGCCCTGGCTTTAGGAGGCATTTGAGGATTGAACCAATGGATGAAAGCTTTCTCTCCATTTTTCTCTCTCTCTTCTCCTGCCCTTTGCCTTTCAAATTAAATTAAACTAGAAAGTATAAGAACAAAGACTATAATAATTACCCTTCAATAATAACTGTTGAGCTCAAATTTTAGTTTTTCTTAGGAAAAACATTTTCCTTGTGTTTTCCCTACAATTAGAGCAAAAAGAAAATTCCACTGACCTCTCATTTTTCTGATTCATGTGTCTATATCTCTACATATCTTCATGTGTATATATATCTTCATGTGTCTATATCACTCCAGAATTGAATGTGCGCATCCCACATGGCATCTTAACTCCTTATGCCAAGGCCCACCCCCAGGGTTTACATTTTGACTCTTCCTTTTACTAGATGTATGATGATATTTGGTAATTTGTATTAGTTTGCAAAGCCTCAATTTCCTCACACGAGTATCACCTTTATTTATTTATTTGAAAGGCAGAGTTACAAAGAGACAGAGGCACAAAGAGAGAGAGGTCTTACATCCACTAGTTCATTCCCCAGAAGGCTACAACAGCACGAGCTGCACCCGTCTGAACCAGGAGCCAGGAGCTTCCTCCAGGTCTCCCATGTGGATGCAGGTGTCCAAGGATTTGACACATCTTGTACTGCTTTCCCAGGCCATAGCAGAGATCTGGATCAGAAGTGGAGGAGCTGGGACACAAACTGGTGCCCACATGGGATGCTGGCACTATAGGCAGTGGCTTTACCTGCTACACCACAGCTCCGGCCCCATGTTTTCTTAGAAACATACCTCCATCTATCAACTCCATCTATCAACATACCTCCAACTTTCAAAAGAAGTATCTGCACATATTTAGTGATGGTTGCAGATAGCAATTTGAGTTACTCAAAGGGTTGTCTAATTAAATTTTTCTCCCTCTTAGGCCAGTTAATTATCAGTAATTCTACCCTCAACCTACTACTTTCGAGCTTTTCATTTTAATTACATTAATTAATGACTTCTCAAATTTTCTAGCTAACCTTTCTCTCAATTTATCATTTGGCACCATGAAATTTGGAGTCTGAAAAATTTGCTGAAATCCAGCTTATGCCCCCACCAATGATTTTCATTAGGTAAGATGCTTGCCTCTTGGATACTATTCTTTCATCCATTAAAGACTATGATAAGATTTGAATAAGGATTAGTGTGAGTAAAATTACTTTGTAAACTCTAAAGTATTATGCTAAGATTTGTATTATTTGTTAGTGTTATATGAGAAGAAGTATTGCATAGTATGTAACACGTAAGTCTTAGGATTTGAGAGTCTTGAATTTCAATCCTCTATCAATGAGTATTATTCTGAACAAATTCCTCAGTTTGTCTAATTCTTAACTTGCCTTATGTCAGTGGTGGAGCTAGTAATATCTACCTGAAAGTACTATTGAGAAACCTAGTTAATAAGAAGTGTCCTCCATAATTAAATGTTTACGTAAGACAGTAAAACATAACAGCTAATACCATGAATTTTAGAGCCTAACGACTTTAAGATTTATATTTTATTTTTATAAATACAGAGGGTATGGTTATTTATATTTTTATTTATTAATTAATTTATTTTTGTTTGAAACATCCATCTGCTGGCTCACTCCCCAAATATCTGCAACATCCAGAATTATTTAAGCCAGAGCCAGCTCCTGGAACTCCATTTGAACCTCATCATGTGGGTGTCAGGGACCCAAGTACTTATTCCACCTCCTGAGGTTTCACAGGGTGTGCCTCAGCAAGAAGCTAGAATCGGAGCAGTCAGGACTGGAACTCAGACACTCCAGAACTGAATGTGCACATCCCACGTGGCATCTTAACTCCTTATGCCAAGGCCCACCCCCAGGGTTTACATTTTGACTCTTCCTTTCACTAGATGTATGATGATATTTGGTAATTTGCATTAGTTTGCAAAGCCTCAATTTCCTCACATGAATATCACCTATTTCATAAAGTTTTTGTAAATAATAGTACAAAAGAAAACAATGTATAGGGTAAGCATTTGGCCTAGCAGTTAAGAAGTCCGTTAGAGTGTCTAGGTCCTGCACTGCAGAGCTTGGGTTCTATCCCCAGTCATGCTCTAGCTCTTGATCCGAGCTTCTTGCTAATGTGGACCCTGGGAAGCATCAGGGAAGGTTCAAGTAACTGAGTTCCTGCCACCAACTGTGGGAGACCTGGATTGCTGTTCCTTTTTTCCCATCTTTGACCTTAGCTCAGCTCCAGCTGATGCAAGAATTTGGGAAGTGAACCATCAGATAGGGTGTGTGTGTGTGTGTGTCTGGCTGGCTGGCTGTCTTTCAAATATATAATTTTCAAAATATTTTAAAAGAAGAGCTATTAATTTCAGCTCTCTGATCAGTCTGATTCTTTGAAGTCATCAGAAACATATTTTCTAAATAATCCCTATCAGTGAAAAGCATTCTTCCACATTACCTCTTTACATAATAGAGTTTTATTCACTTAGCTTTTCAGAATCTCTTCACACTGACTCTATAGCAGGCTTCCTTGGAGGAAGGTTATATTCCAGACCAGAAGCACTGAAGTGAACTGCAGAGCACTATCAAGTCTAGAGGAAGACTGGGAGATCAGGCTGTAAGGTGAGGAGAATGCAGTAAAACAAGAAGCAGGGTCAGCAATACAAGATATCTGTTTCTGGTATCAAATCAAGGTAGAAGACACAGAGAATGGGCAGTTTCCAAGTCAAGGTTGGAAGTTCGTGAGTTGTGAGCCAGGAGATTAAAGGAAGGGCCACCGTGAGGGTCCGAGGCAGTCAGGGAAGCAGAGTGTGACAGATCATGCCCACAGATTAGGGCCAGCAGCTTAACACCTGAGCGGGGTTTACCTAAACACCATTCACTGTCTATATACTGGCAGGGTTCTCACCTGTTCACTACTCCAAAAAGAACACCAGATTTCTTTGCTTCCTGTAACTCTCATGTATTTTCTCTAAACTCCATACAAATATTTAAATAAAGATAATTAACTCCTCAAAAAAAGAGCTCCTACAATCTTCTACCTCTCGTGTTTTTCCCTTCGTGAACTTCAGACGATATCATAGATCTTTAAAATGAAATTGTTAATGTTGATTATTTTTCCACTGACATACACTGGATCAAGAGTATTTTCATGTGGATTACATCTATATTACCTGACCATGTAGGAATTCTCTGTTTGGAAATTCGGAGTGTCCAAGGGACCCTGTGTTGGTGCAGACATCAGTTAAATTGGTACCAGTATCACCAGTTGCAGCCGTTGATGTAGAAAACTGATATGCTGAGTTGTGAGTTCTGTAGATGGTTGGATTCAGGAATGGCTGAAGACCAAAAGAAAAAAAGATAAGAAAAATAGGAAGGTACTGAATATTACTTCTAAAGTAATATAATCCTCACAAACCTAAGTCAGACTGTGACACATCATGGGTCTGTTTTGATGAAACATGAAGATCATTTGATTATATGACTAAAGGAGACTGAAGGAGTAAATCTTCTCAAAAGAAAAAAAAGGAAATCCATTTGGTCATCATAAATTGCTCTTAATTATTTTATTTAAGTATTTACATTAAAATCATATTTAATACATTTGTTAAGTATAATTATGTTGCAAACTGCTGAAGTATGGTTATCTTCTTGGAATTATATCTATGAAATATATGAAATATGTTCTCTTTATAGTTCATTACTTTGCCCTGGACCAGGATCGGCTCTCTTAGGCATTTGAGGAGTGAACCAGAGGATGGAAGATCTGTCTCTCCCTCTATGTCAGTCTGCCTTTCAAATAAATAATTAAATCTTTATTTGATGATTTCTCTCTTTCATATGTTAATGTAATGAGCTACATTGCTACCTTTTGAACCACCCTGACAATAATCATCATACATGAAAATACTTCAGATAATGTGAAAATGTGAAATTAAAAGTATGACTTTATTTTGGTATATTTTTCATAATATTGTGGGAAATGTTTATTATGAAAAAAGAATGCACAGGTTTCAAATTTTTTTAATCCAAAATAAATCTATACTTCTAATCCCATTTTACAGGAACTCTGAAGTCTCTGCATATTTTTGTTGGTTTTTAATTTTATTTAAGTTATTCAAGTTTCATGTATTTCATATATACAGATTTAGAAGCATGGTATTACTTCCCACCTTACCCTCCCTCTCATCCATGCTCCAACCCTAGTAAGTAAATCTATTAAAAAATAGAATCTGTAAACAAAATAGTAGATAGTGAAAGGATAAACAGTAACTTAGATGAAAGAACAATGTTTAATGATATATAGCACCGAATGTTGATTATAATAAATAATAATACATTGGACATTTCAAAATTGCTGAAAAGATTTTAAATATTTTCACTAACAATATTGTAAGCCTGTGAAATGATAGATTTGCTAACTAGCATGGTTTAATCATCCCACAATAAAATATATATCAAAACATCATATTGTACTCAATAAATATCCACAACTGTTTTTCAAGATATTGAAATGAATAATAGAATTAATGAAACCATCAGATACAAGATTAATCTGTAAAAATTAATTGGATTTTCATATAGTAATAAAGGAATATTTTGAAATTAAATATTAAAATAAAATAATAAAAATTAAATAAATATTTGAAATTAAGTTTAATATAATTTAAAACATCACCAAAACTATCAGGAATAAGTATAAAGAGGAATATATTTTATCTCTATATTGAAACCTCTAGTCATTGTTAATGAAAGTTAAAGAAGACAAACATGAATGGAGAAATAAAACCACATTATAGATAGAAGTTAGATAGTATAAGAGTTCAATTCTCACAAATTGATATGCAAACTCAAAACTCTCCCAAAGTTCCAAAAATATTTCTGTAGATAAAAAGAATTGATTCCAAATACTTATAAAGACCAAATACTTACAAATACTTGCAAAAGGACCTTGAGTAACAAAGAATATCTTGAAGGAAAAAATACTGGAGAAGAACTATCAAATTTCAATACTAATGATAAAGCTGGAGTAATTAACGCAGGGATA